GTTTGAAGTACCGCTACACCAGTGTGTGATTCGTTCTATCCTGGGAGGAAATAATCCATTACCTTGGGTACTAGGAGGGGATTAAATTCCTTAAGGAAACACTGTGAATTCAGTGGGCTCGAATTAATTACTGTTTCATTACGATAACTTATATTTTGCAGAATTATTATTTACAAATACAGCAATATTGGCGGGAATAACAACGTTATAAATGAATTTCTCTCAAAATAATTTGGAATGAGTAATTAATGTTAATGGCAAAATATGAAATTTTTTTTCTTGATATGCGAAAATGACAAGTAAAAATGAAAATTTATTTTTAGAATACTTGAAAACTAAAAAGTGAACTGATGTATGAAATTTTTTTTTCTTGATATGCGAAAATGACAAGTAAAAATGAAAATTTATTTTTAGAATACTTGAAAACTAAAAAGTGAACTGATGTATGAAATTTTTTTTTCTTGATATGCGAAAATGACAAGTAAAAATGAAAATTTATTTTTAGAATACTTGACAACTAAAAAGTGAACTGATGAAGTATTTTTTTTAGAGTTCTTTTTAAACCGTAATTTCGAAACCTTAAATTTAGAGATCTTTTTAAAATATGAATTGGGAAAAATGAATTGAGACAGTTTAAACCGCTCATATGCTTCATGTGTATTCCTTACATCGGAGGATAACACATTAGAACCACTCCAATCGCCACGCCATTTTTTATACTCTACTAAAAAGTCCTTTTTATCCCTCTCTCTATCCCCCCTTCAAAATAAACTTTGTTTTTCTAAATATCTATAAAAGATAAAAAGAAGAAGACCCTATATTTGATAATTGAAACAATTGTATCAAAGAGAAGAAAATAAAATTGGTGCCACATTGTCTGGTAGTGAGTGACAAATGATCTCAACATCACTCTCTTTTTTCATTGTCTATTACTCTATCATTGAACAGATTACTGTGATTTATTGGCAGAGAGAAGAAACAAATCTAATCCCGAGGACCCAAGCAAATCTTCCTTACGCGTGTATAATTTATTACTTTAATTACTAATACATATTTTTATTTTCTGGGTATATATTCGATAAATACTTATTCGCACCAAATATTAATTCTACGATAATTATGGATTCTAGTATCTGCTCAAAACTTTATTTTATAGCGATATATCATACTAATCTATGATACATTATTACTAGCATAACAACAAAATCGAACCGATGTCCTCTATAAGTTGCAAGCAGGGGCGAAACTATGTTTGGCCAAAAATGGTCAATTGAATACCTTTTGCCGAAAAATTATACTGTTTAAGAATACTTGCTATTAATAAAATAAATAATTCAAGAAAGGAAACCAAATTCATAATTTAAGTCACATGAACATAAGCTCCACATTTTGTGTTTGACAAAGAAGATATTAAATATTATTGCAGATTACAATCAATCCTTTTTGCCCTGCAGCTTCGAAAAAAAATAAAATACGTGCACTCAATCGCACCCTCCACTTTCAACCAAGAGATTGTGAGTTCGAGTCAACCCAAGAACAAAGTGGGGAGTTCTTGGAGGGAGGGAACCGAGAATCTATCGGAAACAACCTCTCTATCCCAGGGTAGGGTAAGGTCTGCGTATACACTACCTTCCCCATACCCACTAGTGAGATTATACTTGATTGTTGTTGTATCGCGTTTCAGGTAAATATCTATCCAGGGCAATCCCACAAGAATGGCTCCTCGAGCCGGAATACAGTAGTGTCATCTCCAACCAGCTGCTGCCACGTGGACATTGTGCAACAATAACGGTCATTTTGATCCGCCACATCAATGGAGAGATCAGGTAAATCAAAAAAAGTGTCATCATCCTCTCTTGAAAAAGAATTTGGTAATTCTTGGGTGTTTTCCGATAATAAATTGGTTGACGAATGACAACTTCGTAATTCAACTCGGCTCGGCTCCGCTCGAATTTCTTCATTTTCGTCGGGAAATGTGATGGCGGCGGCAAAAGCCGCCGCGGTTTGGATGTCCTTAGGAGAAGCGGAAGCGGGGCGCGGAAGTTGATGAGCTAAATGGGGAAAATTAAGGTAAGCCGAGTCACCTTTGATGGCTAAAGCCGCGACGTCATGAGCTCGAGCCGCCATTTGAGCCGTAGGATAAGTACCTAACCATATTCTTGATTTTTTTCTTGGCTCTCGAATTTCGGACACCCATTTACCCCAACTCCTTTTACGTACTCCTCTATATGTTGGGTGCTTTTCATCTTCATTTTTCTTCCATTTCTTCTTCTCTTCGCCATTCTCATTAATTTGGATGAGTTCTTGAACTTTCCTTGAGCTTTTCTTCGAGTCGTAATTTTTTCGAGTAAGCTCATTGCTCGAGGAGGAAGAAGAAGAAGATGACGACGATGATGTTGTGTTTGAAGGAGAATTCAAGACATTAGAAGAAGAGTTAGAGAAGAAATTGTGACGACGATAATTGGCTCGAATTTCAAGGTTGATTATTTGTTCTTGATTTTCCATGATATTTTTTTTTGTTGCTAAAGTGGCTAGTTGATTGTCTTTCTTTGTAAAGTTGTGGAATAGTAGCAAGTAAAGAAAGTGGGAAGGAAAATGTATTTAGACAGAAATGATATATTTGTGTTTGGCTTCTGTGGTCCTTTAGATAAATTGTTGTGTTCGTTTAAATAAAGGAAAAGGAAAGA